TCTAAGTTAAAAAACTGGAACTCCAAGACCTTCCATGTTAAGTTCTTTGTTTTTATTTGGCATATTATTTCAGTGTAAGAACATAGTTAACATTCCTATAGCCATACAACCTCATAGATTCCTGTGGGCTTTTTGTTACTTTGAGAAAGCAAGATCCACATACCTTAAGTAATGTATTTGAGGTTAAACTAGGGTGAAAATCTTGCATGAATCTTCCTGTCTGTCTAGATAGTATTTTCACTACTCCTGATTATTACAATGTGGTATGTGCCATTTGGTCCACTTAGTGAATCAGTATAAGGAGTAAGTAGATGAAATGAAAGTCCTATAGTATCTGAGGGGTTTTGGTTTGGTTCCAGAACACCCTACTCTGTCAGATAAAAAAATTGCAGATGCTCAAATATCATATATAAAATGGCATATTTTTCTGTAACTTACATAGCCCTAATTCTCCTGTATTCTTTAAATATCTTTCTGTTACTGTGCCAACTCATTAGGACTTTATGAACAATAGAATTCTAATGATCAAGCTCACTGGCTATGTAAATAGCATTTTACATTCTTACCCTTTGACAGATTGCTGTGACCACTTTGTATTTTTAAAAAATTTCTTTTGGTATTCAAAAACGGTTGCTCCTTAGGAGAAAGAAAAAAATTTATTTTGGGGTTTTTAAACTGTGCTTTCAGTGAAACTTTACATAGTAGAATGATTTTCCATTCCGCTGTTAATACACATTTTGTTTCATAATAGTAGGATACTCACAGTCTAATGTTTTTCACACTTGCTCTGTAATTCTTAATTTGTCTATTCTAATCCTTCCTATCTCTTAGACTTTATTGGGCACATGCTGACATTGTGACTTTTTATTGTTATTCTAAGAACTTTTGGTGAGAGGAGTTGTGTTCACAATCCAGTGGCACTTAGCTCAGATCCATTAGTTACTCTGCTGGAGAAAGATGGGCAGTCTTCCCCTGTGTGATTTACAGCCTTTGAAAAACCACTGAAGGATCAAGCTTTGAGTCTGGTCTGACTTACTGGCACTTAGCAAAAAGAAAAAGTGCTTCCCTAAGTTATTGTCATAATACTTGGAAAATTTTATTGGTGCTGCTGCCCAAGATCACATGGTTTATGCCTTTGGTAGGACCTCTTCTTCCTCTTATTTTTTTTATTATTAATTTTAATGAAAATTTACAGAGACTTGGATTTCCATTCATTCATTGTTGCAATTTTCTCCCTGCCCCCCCTTTGAAAAGTAAAAGAAAAATTCTTTCATTGTTTTACAGTCCCTCCCCCCAGGTCCACTCACTATGCAGCCTTCCCTCTGGACTTATGTCATGACAAAAATACCTAATCACATATCCCTTTTAAACAGTTTTCTCCCTCATCTGTTTCAATGCAGTATACATTATTGAACCCATCTTTCTCAGTCTCCCCCCATCCCCTTTTACAACAGTGGCACCATGCAGTATTTGTCCTTTTGTGACTGAGATATTTCACTCAACATAATGTCCTCCAGGGTCACCCATTTTGAATAATATTGAAATAATTCCTTGTTTTTCAGTGCAGCGTAATAGTCCATTGTGTGGGGTGGGGAGAAAAGTGCAACAATGAATGAATGGAAATCCAAAATCTCTGTAAATGTTTATTGACATTAATTAAAAAAAAGTGGAAAAAATTATAATTAAAAAAATTTTTTTTTTAAAAAAAAAGTCCATTGTGGATCCAAGATGGCGACGGAGGCAGAGACAGTTTGGTGAGCTGCAGGAGCAGTAAACCACTTTTAAAGCAGGGCCATTATGGCCTTCCATAGACTTATTGATAATAGAACACTTAAACAGTTGATGACTGGTCGTCAGTGAAGAGCGAGGCTCAACAACAGGAATTCAAGGATTCCCAAGAAGAAATGGGTGAGTCTTGTGGCTCCCAACCCCCCCCTGCAGAGCCCTCGCGGCACCGCACAGCCGCTGCAGCTCCATGAGGCTTCCACAGCCGGAACAAATGGATTCCCTCACCCAGGATGGATGCTGGGCACCGGCCCTCTTCAAGACTGGTACAGCGAAGCCACCACACTGCCACAAGGTGGACTTGTTCTGGAGAGAATTCTTGGAGCCAAGATGGCAGTTGTGGGGGAAGCGGGTGCCCGCAGGCTGCGCACAAAGAGGGGCTGCCCACTGGCCGAGTGCCCGTGTGACGGAGTGGGGGGGGGCGCACCCCCAACGGCCGCCAGTGCTGGGGGGGGGGTGCGCACGCCCTGCTGGCCGCCTGAGTAGGAGGTGGGGGTTGGGATGCATGCCTGCCATCTGCCTGTTTGGGTTTCCTTAGACAGGCCAAAGAGGACGATTACCTATACAATGGATTGCTGAAAGTCACTGTGAGTCTGATGACCTTAACAGTGGCAACATGCACAAGAGGACCACCATCCTATATGCACCACATACTTTGTTCTGTTGAATGCTTCTACCAAAAGATGGTTAGACCTGGGGGTAGTCTGTTCACAATTCTCAGGTTCCGTTTATCATATATAAAGGGGGAGGGCGGTGACACCTACTTCAAAATATAATATGACCACTTATGGGGGGGGGGAAGTGGCAGTGCTGAAATTGGAAACACTATCCTTGACCACAGAGTCCTCAGTCAGGCAAGGGGACCAGACTGGGCTAGGGGCAATTGGAGGGGGAGTATACCAGCCAGCTCCTGGGGGGTGTTGCCCTGCTCGGGACGGGACGACCCTCGGCTTGGGGTAAGCTGTCGCGGCCCTCAGGGTGAGCTCCTCAGTCCCCAGATTGTGCCATCTGACCCCTGGGTGAGGGGAAAGAAAAAAAGAATGCCTAGGGTATCCAGAGAATGTTACCTAGGCCACCTTTTGCCACCCTCCCCCCCAGCAAACCTGAAAGCTACACCCTCAAAGCCCTTCTGTATGTAACTTACAAGTTTGTTCTCTCTAGGTTTGTTCCCTTTCCTATAGGTAACCTTAACACTGAGTTTTACTCCAGAATTGACCCTGAACCCAGTGCCAGTGCCAAAAAGGAAATACAACTGACAGCTAAGGAAGCAAAGGAGGATGGAGCCTCTGGGTTCAACCAGCCATCCCCAGTGGACCCACCTGGGAAAACACTTTGCAGTCCAGAGGGGAGCAAATGACAGGAAAATATCTTCTAACAGAGCAAGAAGGCAAGCAGCTTTAACCCAAGACCACCAGTAAGGTGATAAAGCGTCCTCCCTTCCCCCCTTTACATCTACGCCCCTGTTCAGCATGAAGAAGCCAGAGAGTCGGCATCCAATTCCCAAATCAATAAGACAGTTGGTTTAATTACCATTGGAAAATGCTTGTCATTCCTCTGTAGTATCTGGTCCCTTCTGGACCCTCATCATTTCCTTCACCTGCTCCCCCCACCGACCAAACTGTGCAGCTCTGCAACTGCGTCCTGACCCATCCTCACCCTTCTGCCCCCAACCCTCACCTCCTTGTACCGCCAATATGTTTTTCCAAATTAAAAAAAAAGTCCATTGTGTGAATATACCACAGCTTCTCTATCCATTCGTTTGTTGATGGGCACTTAGGTTGTTTCCAACTCCTTGCTATTTTGAATAAAGCCGTGATAAATCATGGGTTTGCATATATCTGCTTGGATGTCAGTTATGGTCTCTTTGGGGTATATTCCCCGTAGTGGAATTGCTGGGTCAAATGGTATCTCTCTTTGCAACTTTTTGAGAAAGCACCACACCACCTTCCACAGTGGTTGCACCATTTTACACTCTCACCAACAGTAAATAAGGGTTCCATTTTCTCCACAATCTCGCCAGCATTTGTTGCTTGCTGTTCTGTTAAATTTTTCTATTCTTACTGGGGTGAGATGATTCTTAATGGTGGTTTTGTGTTATGTGCTCTTGAGTTAGAGCAGACTCACAACTGGCTCTCCAGTGGGTTTTCAAAGGCTACCCAAAGTACTTTATTTAATACGTAAGTGATAAGATTCTTCACTTTTCAAGCTCTAGATATTATTACATTATTGGAATTTTTCCATGTTGTTTACCATTCTAATTAAAGTAGTAATTTTAAAAAATAGATTACAGAGTTACTACAGAATATACATTACAGAATATTGTAAAACTCAGATTGTGTTTCATTGTCCCAGAGAACTCTTTAAAGTGATTTGATCCACATTAGTGCAAATATCCAATCTTTTGAAGTAATGCTATACTTTAACATTAAGCAGCTATATTATATAATTAAAAAACTACAGTTGTCAAATTTGACAGCTTCAATGCTTAACCTACCAATATATGTCAGTTTTAAAATTGTGGTAGTTTAATCCCTTGGGTTTATTAGAGTGCAGTGCTCACAAAAATAAAACCTCATACATATCCTACTTGAAGAATTTTCTGTAATATTTACCCTTAAAATTTTAAATTAAAACTTTTTCCATAAAAATAGTGTGATCTCTGTTTAATAGTCCTAAGTAATCCTAGCAATGGGTTAATTTTCACTACCAGCTCTTTAGATCTTAGAAATTTTTTAAGATTATTGTCACTTAATTATCTGTGCTTAAGGCGTAATAAAAATAAATTTATTTAATGGGTTGCTTGGAAGTTACCTAAGCTTTATGAGATCAGAATTACTGATTTGAAGACTGTTTCTCTTGTAAATTCAGTTATTTTTTCTGTTTGTGGCGTTGGGTTTTTTTTTTCACATTTAGCATTTTCAATTTTCTAGCAGACGGTTTACATACCTGCCCCCTTCCTTTAGGTCAGTATGGCAATTTTCCAATATCAATTGTTTAAAGAGAAGCTTTGGTCAAAAATGGAATCAAACAGGCCAGGGGAATAAATCTTTGCTGCTTTTAAAATACCAACACTTTCACAATTCTATTCTCACACACATCACACGCGCACACACAGAGGAGCATCTGCACGGTCGTGTTTTCAGTGTTTCTTGCGGGCGGGGAGGCAGGCAGCTGCAGCTGGTCATGCTGGCTCAGTCTCCAAGGTTTGCTCAGCTTCACATTATTCGGAGGCCCTGGATGGAAGACTCCAAGGTCTTGAAATCCCAAATTGTCATGGCTCCATCGATGCCAGTGGTGCAGAATTTACGACAGTCTTGCTTGTCCACCTCATAAATGGACACCTGAGTGATGCTATTCTGGTGCAGCGTCTCCAAAGCCGTGTTGCGGTCCTCGGTGGTGGCCCGCTTGTCCATGTTGCGGAAGCGTTTCATGGCCGACATGTTGCGCTGGATGCTCTGTTTCAGAATGTCCAGTTTGGAGACGAAGGTCAAGCAGCCACGGTCGTCATAGTTGAAGAGCATTGGGCAGCAGTCATGACCAGCAGCCACGACGCTGTTCTCCGACACAAATGATACGCTCAGGAGGGGCAGGAACTCCGTCTTCAGAGTGGAGACCTGCACGCTTTTGGAGGCATC